AGCATGACTTTTTTATTTCACGCCAAAACTCATAATTAGACTTACTGTATGTCGGCAGGTATTTTTCATCATTCAATACATGGTCAGTTTGTATTACTTCTCTGCTGGAGAGTATTTTGGCTGCAGGGCAGAATCAACCACTTGTCATCATGTGACCACATTTGGTGAAGCAAAACTAGAGTTTGTACATTAAAGCAGCACTTCAAAGTTAAATAAAAGAGCAGAAAATACCTTTAAACCATTATGAAACCAATGTTCACCCAGCTGAGCATCTCTCTGTAACCACCACACATTGATCAATAATCGTTAACCACATTCTTGGTCAGTGGCTTCAACGATGTCCTGGGACGTTAATGACAGCGACTATTTGCAAGGATCACAATGTCTTCAAGTCTGTAAGGCATCTTTATTTAAGCTGGTACCATATGTACAATGATACTTTGCTGATGGAGCCGGACTACATTCAATTGTCATTCACTCAACAGAATCACTTTCAAATACAATTATGACAAAAGGAGCCGCTAAGGTCTGAAAATGGAGGAAAAAGTTATTTTTCTTTTTTAAAAATTCCAAGTCAAAGATTTGATTTTAATCACAAGATTTTAAGAAGACAATTTCACACATCGAGATAAAGGACATAAAAGGTCTGACAGCACCCTCTGCTGTAGCGGTGTCCCGCCTCATTCGGCCGCGGAAACGAATCGAATCAGCGTTACGGACCGGAGCCCGACCACAGGATTCGATTTGAAATGAAAAACTAGCGGTATCGATCCGTCCGTCCGTGGTGTGCATTCAAATACCAGATTAGTTTCCCATTGTACAAAAATCAGCTCGTCTTTCTAAAGGAAAGCAGGTCTCCGTGTTAATAAACAGCAGTCCCCTCAGTATGAAAACTGGAGTGCGGTTTCAGTCCCACTCGGGGTTTTCTATGGCTCCGGGGTCGTCCTTCAGACTCAGCAGGCAGAGCAGGGCCAACCTCCTTCAGCCTTCTCTCACTTTGGCAGCGAGTGCAGAGTTCTCCTGTCGAATGGCCTTGTAGTCGTCAAGGATCCTCTCGAGGTTAGCCACAGTTTTGTTACCGTTTTCTGCCTCGATCTGCGGACAACAGACAAGAATTAAATAATCTGTACATCTTTTAACATGCTTCTGCAAATGTAAGTGATGTAGCCTTAAGATATGAAATGTAACACTGATTAGTGTACGAAGCCTTGAGTTATGACCAGAAATGTCCGTCTGTACTCAACGCAGAGATGCAAACTAATATTCATCTGACTCCCGAAATTGAAAACTGGAAATCCCACCTGCTCCTCTAGATCTCGAATCTCTCTCAGAATTGTACCGGTGTCCTCGATGGTCTGGATCAGATGGTTACAGTTCTGCGGGAGAACGACGCACGATCACAACACGTAACATTTTTTTCTCCTGATATTAACTGAACAGGTCAAAGGAAACGAGAAATTCAATTTACTTCATGCAAGGCAGCCAGGTACTTGTAGGATTTGCGGACGGATTCATCTTTTTTGGCGTCCTGCACGTGAAAAGAAAAGATGTAAAATGCATGAAACATCGGTTTGTCCACAGGATGCGAACATACAGATTTAAAACAACCATCTCAGGAAGGATTATAAACTTAAGTACTTCTGTTAATGTATTACGCAGAGATTTGGCTGTGTTCATTCACACTTACTGGTAAACCTGTGCTTCTACAGTTTTAATGTTTGCTGCTTATTGTCAGAAGGGTGATCATCCCATTATTCTGCCCCTCTTGTCTTGGATAAAACATCAGGAACACTTAACGATACGATGCAGCCCAGTGCGACCACGTAAACCTGCGCTACCTTAAAAACGAGCTCGTCGGTCACAGCGAAGGTTCGGTCCAGTTTCCCCGTCAGGTTGTTGATCTCTTTCTGGAGCTCCTTAGTGTCCGACAATATCTGCAAGGAAAGTGTAGTGTTGCTGGTGAGGGACGTTGCAGCAGACAGACAACACATACAGGACAAAGTCGTCTCAATACGTCATAACCTGCTTCCACTTAGACCAACCACACACATTCAAACTAGCCATGCATTTGCTCAGTGTATTTTTTGATAGTTACACATACCTTCGTGATCTCCTCTTTCTGTTTCTTGATGTTGCTGACTATCTCTAGGATCCTCTGAGTGTACGCTGACCGAGACACGTCCTGGTTGAGGTTTTCTAACTCCGTTAACTGCGTCAGAAGAGAACAGGGACAACGCTAGCAGGCAGACAGACAAATTCAGCAGCCAAAACTTCTACATCTGTCATAACGAGGCATCCAAATACAGCTGCTACAAACAAGTTTCCAATAAGTCGGTGTTGTAAAGGCTTTAAATATTGGTGTCACAGTCTCAACTACCATAACCAGATAAAGCTTGTCGTTATCAGTTGTGACTCTCCACACTCATTCATCTCAATTACCAGTTGTTTGTACGTTTCTTCTTTCTTCTTGGCCTCCTCTGTGGAAACTCGGATCTTATCATGCAGAGACTTGATCTCGGACAGCTTTCTGGACGACTCCATCTGTGGAAATTAAGACGGAGCAACGGCATCGAAATGTGTCTTTTACTGCAACGGATTCGGTGAATATTCTGTTTTTACTACTTACATCCTGGCTGCTGCAGATTTCCTTGAGCCTGCGGTGCTCGTCGATGAGCGGAGCGCGGTGTTTCTCCCACTGAGACGCCAGGTTCACCACCCGCTTGGTGCTGGCCTCCACCAGAGCCTGGAGGAACCGACACTAGCGTTCAGTACACGTGAATGCCTCGTTGCGGCTGATGATGCCATCGGGGATCGTCGGCCGTCCTACCTGAAGCTGCAGCAGGTTGCCGTCTGCGTCCGGCAACAGGTCGATCGTTTTCTTCTTCACCTGCATCTTCTCCTCGTTTTGAACGTTTGCCAATTCCCTCTGCTTCAACTCATCCAGCACCTACACGGAAACACACCACACACGGGAAACAATTGGTCAACCAGCATCTACTTCAAAAAACACTGTTAACTCCTTCTCCTTTTGCAGACTGGTCCGAATCAGAACCAGCGTTAGTGACCAAGTCTGTGAACGCATACAAAGAATGAGACTCCAGTGTTTACAGACAAAAAAAAACACATGTACATTAAAACCATCTCAAAACTATTTGAAATCAGCTACTCCACTGTCTGGAAAACAGTCTACAAGTAGAGGACATTCAAAACAACCGCCGGCATGCCCAGGTCTGGTTGTCCAAACAAGTTTACCCCGAGGACAAGTCTCGACAAACCCTGAGATGTCATCACGGGACCTACAGCAGGCTCTTGTTGATGTGAAAGCCTCTACAATCAGAAAGAGACTGCACAGGTTTGACTT